AGGGGGGGGGGGGGGGGGGGGGCAACAGCTTGAAAGCTTGGGGGCATCTCGGGGGCATATCTTGTCGATTAAAGAGACTGATGGGGGGCCACGTGTTAAGCCGTACCTTGGTCACCCACAAGGCCATGTGCTGCAGTTTTGCTATATTTATTAAGTCGGTGGGGACGATCTCTGTTATGGTATTTGTCGTGATGAGCGTTGTTTGTCTTGTAGCAGTGTAGCATAGTATGTAACTGTTTTGTGGGAATGAAAAAGCGCAGTGGATGGACGGGTGAAGGATATGATAATACGGTTAAAAGCGTTGACGACGTGATTGGATGAGGTGCCAGCACGTATGGCACGGTTGGCTGTGGCAGTTGTTGATGGACGATTCGACTCGACTATCAGTCGTACCGATCACCCCCCAAAGCACCGCTCTGTGCGCCGGTCGGTGTTGTTGATGTCATCCCATGAGTTTCTGCGCTGCCACCGCCTCCCCCCGCTTCTTCCCCTCACGACGGCAGTTCGTTTTCTCATTTTTTTTTCGTGAGGCGAAACAAGTGTGTTTGTAGTGTCGACAATGTTTTTGTTGCTTGTTTGCATGTTTTTAATTACAAAATCAACCCGGCTTCGTCCGGGGTGTTCGCTTGCAGCCGCGTCGTTCCGCGTGTGTTTGTTGGGTAGGGGCAGGGGAGGGGAGGGGGGTCAGCATTGGCTGAAGGCGAAATAAGCGCGTCTGTTGTCGGCGTGGGGGTAGGGGAGGGTCAAGGTGGCCGTGTGTGGGGGTATACGCAACTTGCTCGAAGAAGACGTTGAGATAGCTCTTTTGCTGAATCAATCAATCAATCGTGGACTCTTTGTCTGAAAGCGCACGGAGCATACGTACTACAACCTGCTGTTTGTTATTGTCGTGCTATTTATTACGTCTTCGAGAGTCAGATCGCAGAATGTTGGGGTGTTTTCCCATTGCAGCATGCCAAAGCGGAGTGAGTCACCTGCACCCGGAGGTTCGTCTACAGCTACAGCAGCAGTAGCTATAGCCTGCGTTTCCCCATGACTCCGACCGGCAAGGTTGTGGCATCGGGGAAGCGGCATGCATACTGTACGGCTCAGCACCATCATCTGTCTGTCTCCGGTCAGGTTCATCCCAGGGTAGGACGCGCTTCCTGACTTACCGCGGAACTGGTGTTCAAGTAGTAATAGTAGGTTGGTATAGGCGTGTTGAGACCCGGGGGTGGCGGGTCGGTACGTATGCTGACGTGCTTGCGGAGGGGCGCTTTTCTGCTGCCTGCCTTGGTTGGGTGGGTCACTTGTTTTGAGATCATTAGTGTATTTTGCTGATTGTTTCCACGACTTGCATTTCGGCAGTCTTTGGAGTCTTGTTGGCACAAACAAAAGTACAAGACTTACACGATGTGTTCGTTCGTGGTTTTTTTATTTCCAGCTCATCTTGGATAGAGAATAATAATATGACAGGGGTTAAAAATGCTCTGCTTTTGGCCGGGAGGGGCGAGCGAGGTGTCGAAGGGCTGCCGGCGTTTGCTTTTCGCGTCGCGGTTTCGGCGAGCATTTTCGCGACTGCAGTGTACATCGCACTATCGTGAATAGCACGATCTACCGTCCGACATGGATGGGGGTGTACCTGGAGTTGGATGACGATGCTTGCGGAAACGAAAAGCGCTCCCGATGAGTGAGATCGATCGAGCTTTGCATCTCGTCATAGTTGTGTCTGTGGCGGAGAGGAAAAAAGATACTCTCGGCCAGATAGTAAGCACGACACAGTTATTGATCATGTCGATCGACAGACGCGACACGGATATTTTGATGCCGATCGGCAGACAGACAGACATTCAGACAATCAAGCTTTGGATTTCGGGGGGAGTCGGTCGGGTGATAGCAACCCCAAATACCATCCGCCCCCGAGGTCGTTTTTTCATTCGTCGGTGTTCGCGCCCCCCCCCCCGCCTCCCTCGCACAAATAAATGAAATCACGCGGATGGGGAGGAGCATCAATCTTGCACCAAACCGCACCCACCCTTGACGTCACATCCATCCCTGACAACGATATCCCGCCCCCCCCCCGACCTATATCGGTAGGAAACGTAGACAAAATAGGGAAGACATTTTTGAGCCACCTCTGGCAAAGTAGGAAGGAACGATTGGCCATCGGTGATCGGTCCTGTGGGAACAATGCTCCGTCCTCTCGAGGACGCCTGGTCAATGGTCTAAACGCTAAGGCATGCAAAACATAAGAATATATACACACACCCTCTGCCGACACTTCCAGTAGCCTAAGCGAGGACGTACACAGCTATTGAGCTTGGTTTTAGTAAGGGGTACGGGATGGGGTTGGGGCGGATAAGGATACGAAACTTCTCTAAACCCACGCAGATGACAATAGCATGGCCGGTCACGGCAGACGGCACCTCCTCCTCCCTAAATCCCTGACAACGATATGCCCCCCCGCCCCGGCCGAAACTTCCAGTAAGGACATTTTTGCTGGGCACTAGGAAGGGGTACGGTTAGGGGTACGACCTCTGAACCCACATATGCAAACACAGACGACAAAATATCCCCACGCTCACCGCAGACGGCACATCCCTCCCTCAATCCCTCAATCCCTCAATCCAAATCTATAGGTTGTTGCGGTACGGGATCCCCCGCGAAGCTTCTCTGAAAACCCCACGCAGATGCTTTCAGCCGCGGGCGGCCCTTTCGCGTTGATATATGGCCACTCGACGAGCTTCTTCGTCGGCGTGCGTTGCCTTTCTTTCTTTTTCACGAGAAGAGAAAAGCCGCAAGTAAAAGTGCTGATAGCATCGCTCTCGAGCGAGAGACACAAGCGGCAGGAAGAAGGGCAACTTCCAAACCGCGCGAGAGAGACAGCTCCACAAGCAAAAAGAGGGCCCGAAATAGCCAGGGTGCTCTTTCGCATATATGCGGAGAGAATTTCACCTACTTCTGTCTCGCTTGCGCACCTCAGAGATAATTCTTAGGCCGCGCCAAATACGTACCGGTATGCGCCAAATACTTGTCACACGGGCAGTAAAACCGGGGCAGAAAAAACTGCGCCTGTTTTTCTCTTTGTTTCTTCGTTTTGTGTTGATTGGACCGGGGACCAGCGCGGGCGCCCAAGAGGCGTAGAGGCAGGCGCGGGCGCCCAAGAGGCGTTGGGACAGGAGGCCTTCATCTACCGGTTTTCTGTGCGGTACGGTACGGAAGTTGTAGTTGGGCTGTGCCCACGGAAGGAAGGCGTCCCGCGAGTTCGACAGAGAGAGGCGAATGTCTGAGCAGAGACTGACGGTAGGTAACGATTTTTAAACATGAAGACGAAGACAACACGTCAAGACCAAAACAACACCACCGACCCCGCCAACGGCGTCGACAGCAGCAGTACATATGCGGTACCCTCCACACACACTAATACTAATATTATTATTACACTTTGCAGGAGACAGCCGATGCACCCAATCACCGCGGTTTCAAGTACACATGGAGAGGTCCCCATTATCATTGACGCCTTACGACGGCCCCACAAAGGGAAATCTTAATTCTTAATCTTCATAGGCTATCTCACGACGACGTGCTCGTCTATTGGGGGGTGTCCCCCCCCACCGATCGCCGATCGAAGCAGTTCTCGAAAAGATGTCTCTTGGCAGGACAACCTGTCCATCAACATCAACATCACTCACCCACTGGGAAGAGAGCGGTTTTCGCAACTTCCCCCCGCACAGCATAATATTACCACATACCACCTTCACCGAAATCAATCTTCGCGCCACAAGCTAAGGACCAACACACCTCCCAATCTTCCGTGACGTTCAAGGCTTACGCCATACCAACACTCTTCTCCTCTAAGTCTAGGCAGCGCTAACACACCGCACCGCTCGTTGCGACCCGCAGAAAATTCGTGGGTTGTCCCGGCTTGGTGCCCAAGGGGCGCTGCCAGCAGCCCGTCCATCATCCAGAATGCAGAATTTCGGCTACCCCCTTGCACCAAATTCGTTTCGCGGGCTCCCTTCCCCACGGCGGGACACAGACGATTGCGCTTCCAAATATCTCAAGTTACATTACAAGTACGTACGTGCTTAATTTCAGCCGCAGGCTTGGAAGAGAGAGGGGGGCCTCTCTCTCCTTCCCTGATCCCCAACGTTGTTGTTGTTGTTGTTGTCGTCGTTGTCGTTGTCGTTGTTGTTGTTGTTGGGAATCATCACGACTCTTCGCAGACATCGTCCACGTTGAAGCCGATGATGCTGGAGGTCTCGTCGACATAGACGCTGTTGCAGCCCAATTCGTCCTGTTTCCGCCAGAATTATTTCGGCGAGTGAAAATGGTGGCGGCAGGTACAGACAGGTAGGTCAGTGCCGACGCGGCATGTGATGAAGGACGATCATGTTTTCCGTACGTGGCAAAAAAAAAACAGGTGCGGACACGTCGCGGGATGGAAAAGGGGGAAGCGTTCAGGGGGAAGGGAGGGAGAAGGGAGGCGGCAAGGGCGTTTCCCTCGACAAACGTACGCGTCGCGC